CTGTATTACAGTTTGTCTCGCACTATACGCCAGGTTCGCATTATCTGATATTAAAACATATATTCTGGGATAAATATTGACCTCGCATTATACGCGAGATCGTATTATCTAACGATAAAAAGGGTAAACCAATGCATGAAACTATGCTTTTGATGAGGTTTTACAAAAAGTTGAAAAGATTTAATAATTGTTGTCTGCCTCATATTCTAACGTTTCATTACCAGGTACAGTACAGTAAGTGTATTACATTTAGTGTAACATATTAAAGCAAGGACATTTATAATATTTATATATGGACAAATTTATAAACAAAACTTACTTTCAATTGAATCGGTGGTCGAGAATGCAAAACACGAACCGCACTATACATACAAATCCAAGAATTATTTTATTGATGATTGTGTTTGTATTCAAGTAACACATACTGATTGCTGACTCTTGACGGGTGTGACCACACCTTTGGTTCTCCAGTCGATACTTATGGGAAGGGTTAGGTCGTCCACATCCTCAGCATAAGTCTTGTTCACATGGTTTGCATTCACCTTTAGGTTCAGGAGCTGTCGGTACTCCTCGTTAGTCATGTCTGCAAACTGGTTGACACCCAATCGGAAAGTGTGGAGACCTTTGTCGGCCTCAGCGTTATGGGCAGTGATGTACGCGTAGTTGGTCTCAAAGATCTGCCGGCGCACCGACTCCTCACCCTTACCACCGAAGTAGGAGTTCCCACGGAATTCATTCTGCAATGCAATGATTAGTATTACAATTCTGTAACAAATCTGACCCAAGAATACATACCTTGAATGCAATCCATTCGCTCTCCAGTTCCTGGAGGGGAACGGCGCTCACCGACACTATTAGGGCTAAGGCTATGAAGGCTTTCATTATTGACAGTCAATACCCATCAACTTGTTTTGGAACTGGAGGTTTGTGTCGTTCTTTATATACCAAGCACATCATGGGATAATTCAGTGAATTGGTCTAATTGTAATCTTAAAGTATGCTAATTTGAATACTAAATAAAAATAGAACCATTTGATCTTGATAATATAGTCATATGATTTTTAAATTGTGTGTAAATTCTTTAAATATTACATTTAGTACCTGTCACATATTTATCCGAATGGGTCTTTTCTATTTTAGAAAAAGATTATAAAACCTTGATAACTAATATAGTGCTTATATATAAAGCAATACACACGCTTTATTGGAATACATTGATCACATGCACAGAACTTTAAATTGTCACAATCATATTGACACATTATGTAACCTGGTTAATCATAAATCATAGCGGGAGTGCACTTTCTATAGCACATTCAATCTGGGTAATCTTTTGTTTATAGTATAAGTTTTGAAGTACAGGTATTATTTTTAATGATTCTTGGAATATCTAATTCTGTGTGCAATTGAGTGCTTTTGAGTGCAATGTGATTTCATAGGGCTATTCAGTTATTATGTAATAAGTATATCAGTGGAAGAAATTTAAAATAAATGGGAAAAAATATTACCGCAATTTTTAAAAAATTCATTATGAGTATAGATAACAAGTTCATAAAATTGTACTTTAGTAACATGTATAATTTGTTATTTATAATTACAATTAATCTTTTAACTTTCTGGCAATATTTCATTTTATTTATTTTAAAATATCTTCTACTTATATAAGTAATAATATGTTAGTTGTGGTGAAAATAACAGATAATTTTATCAACACTTATGTATTAATTAGTGTTACAATCAATAGCTGTTCATAAATTAAATTATATTAAACTATAGGTATTTAATTATAACNTTCATAAATTAAATTATATTAAACTATAGGTATTTAATTATAACTAGGTTTCCCACGCCCATCTTGTTTTCATTCTTGATGTATGTACTGACTGAACTGCCCCATTAAAAATCACGTGACTAATTCTTAAGGATCGGTTGCAAAACATTAATCTAATTGACCATCGTACTAATTAAGTGCATTAGTACACATTATATCTGTATATACAGATGTAATGTGCTTTACTCAAGTGAACATCTCAATTTTAATGAATATTTATGATTAACACTTAATCTTGATAAAAAGTTCTTTTGTCCTAGCACTAATATTTTGACTATCATTTTGAAAGTTAAGTTTGTATAATATTTCTACATTTGTCCTTAGGATTAGCGTTGTCAGGACTTTTTCCGAGATTGGAGGACAAATGGTAAAATCAGAAATTTTCCTGGAGGACTTTTGGAGGACAACAGTTATAACATTAGGAGTTATTCAATAAGTACGGAGAACATAAAATTCTCCCAAAAATTGACTTATTATTGAATATCTTCATATAAAATTAAATTCAATTACAGTAATTCTATTTATTTATCTAGAAATGTTGAAAAATAAATATATTTCCTGTCACCTGACAATTAAAATTATACCCGATCAAAACCCTACGTCCTCCAAAATTACTTGACTTATTTTTATTGAAAAATTAACTTTTAAAATATATATATATTAAACTAAAAAGTTAAAATCTAGTTTTAAAAATAAGTTCAACTCTATTTTAGTGTAAAGGTATACTGAATATTTAGCAATATCCCTAGCATTTATAAGTAAAAGATTTATATAATATGTAATATTACAATTTTTCTTAATCCAGTCCTCCATAATATTCCAAATAATTATAATTTCTAGCTTTAATGGAATAATGAAATGAAGTTATTCATGACATTTAAATTAGAATTTGGAGAATACATGAAAGATTGACAAGAAAATTAAAATTTATTTGAGCAAATTCTTTTGGAGGACATTACATTGTCCTCCACAACCCCTCTATAGAACTGTGCCACTGGGGGTCGATGGGAGGACTGTTCTCCAGAGTGGAGGACGTCTGGCAACGCTACTTAGGATATTAAAACATTTTGGTTTGATATATTTTTTCCGTTAAAATAACCAATAGATAACATTTAGACTAAAATTTAGTATTATTAAATG